GTTAGGGAAATGGAATTTCATTTTGGACACGTCTTATTTTGGATGCCCAAAGGACATCTGGACATATAATCCTAGAGCTCAGGTAAGGTATATCTAAACAGGGGAGGGTCGCCAGGAATGGGTGGATGGCCCTTGCCTTTGTGCCAGTTTGCCCTGCACAGGGTTGCATAAGAATTTCAAATTCATATAAAAGCACTTCCTCCTCCTCCACCAGGAAAACAAAACAAAACAAAACAAAACAAACAAACAAAAAACCCTGGGAGAATTAGAAGAATTTGAGGCAAATGAAGGTGCTAATATAATAATTACCATTTATGGTGATTTAACTGCACTAAAAAGAACCACATTTAATTATCCCAATTAAATGGCTACTACTTATTGTCCCAACTTCACAGGTGAGGAAAATGGGCCTTAGAGAGGTAAAGGGGTTTAAATGAAAACCAGAGAGAAAAGAGTCTTGTTGGAGTCATACGGCCAGTCAGGAGCAACAGAGTCCATGCTTTCACCACCCAAGGAAACCTAACAGTCTTCTGGGTCTACATGCCCACAAGGGCCTCGCTAGGGACTCCAGCCTGAAAATGTGGTGAGAGGGAGTTGATAGGTGATTTCACATATTGAGAACATCACGTTCCCAGGCAAATCAATAGCTTTAAACCTACGCAGTCATTTCAGCACCACGGTCAGGGGCATGACGCTGTCTTTCAAGACCTCGGTACCCAACCGGGTTAGCCAGGCAGGCGCCCTCTCCTCTATCTGACTTGGCCCTCTAGTCACAGAAGCCGAGGGGCAGACAGGAGCCTGGAGCCTCCCCAGGGGCCGAGGGGGCGGGCAGCCCAAGAGCCGGCTTTACAAGAACCTGAGGACCTGACTCGAGCCTAAGCACAAACAACTATAGACTGACTCAGCACAGAGGAAAGAGCTCTAAACTGATAGTTTAGAGCCAGGGTCACAGTCCTAGCTTGCTTCGATAACTCACTGAGTGATTGAGGGCCTTGGGCAAGTTACCTACTTCCAAGACTTTGAGTCTCTGTTTCCACAGGTGCGACCATTCTGCCTTGCTATAAGAAGACACCTATGAAGTGTCCAGCCTCAAGTCTCCCACTGTCTGTTCTTAGGTCTTTGAAGGCATAGCAGACAGGTAAGGTTAAGGAGTGTCTCCCCACTACTTTTCTTGAACACTGTCTACAAGTATTTTTTAAAGGGAGAAAGGGGAAAAGGAACACAGCAGAGAATATTAATTACATGAATGTAAAAATGTAATTATAATATACCCGGAGCTTATGCTGTGCCACTTTCTTAGCTGAATTTACCCGAAACTCACCCTACCCTGTCCCCAGTACAGGTCTTGAAGGGTCTTTTCAACCACTTCTGGTGGCACGGGATGTGCTGGGGGTGGGGGGGGGGCTGTAACTCCATACACCTCAAGCAGGGTCTTCTCTTAGGTACCTAGAAATCCAGTGAAAGAGTATTAGGGACTCCTTCCAACTTCTGAGAATTAGCTTAAGCGAGGCTCAGAGACTTGTCTAAGGTCACACAACCGGGCAGAGTGGCGGGTAGGGGAGAGGAGGGGCAGAGTGCACCTGTGGGGTCGCGTGCGCCCAGGCTCCCTGCCTTTGTGCCAGCTCAGTGGCCTTCTTGGCTCCCAGACATTAGCATTCCAATGGCTCCTAGACGCTTTGTCCTCGGACCACTGCCGGCTTGGGGGTGGGATGGGATGGGGGCAGGGCACCATAAATCTACCTGCTTGTGTGTGCGTATGGGGGTGTGTGGGTGAGATGGGGGTGGTGCAAGATTCATGTGCTGTTTTTCTGGAAGCCAGGCTTGGGCTCAGGCTCAGACAAAGGCAGAAGAAGGGAAAGAATTGTTCCACCCGAGCATCTTTCCTGCCTGCGCTTGGGACCCTGTCCAGGTTTCAGGGAGCCGGGGCACAGACAACCACCTCAGATTGCAGGAGACTCTTCAGCCATACAAGTGTGGACTCAGTGGAGACCTCGAGCAGCATAACTTATTTTAAAAGTGGCTGAACGCAAAATACCTGGGGGTGAGGGTCCTAGTGGTGGTGCTGGGCTCGTTATTTATGCAATCACAGAAAGGTTTCTGAGCCTTTCTTGAGGAAGGGCTCTTTAGAAAGAGGCCTGGAGGAGGTTTCCCACCTCGATGCAAATCCACGTCCATTGATGGAGCACTTCCTAGGCATAGGAGCCCTAAACTTTGCAATGATTCAACCAAACCCTAAACTTTCCTCTGCTTCCTCCTGAATTGGAGAGAAGATCTGACAGATAGTTCCTGGGTCAAATCCACCCCCAACCCAAGGTGGCAGCCAAGCAGTAGAGCTGATTAAACTGTACTTTTTATTTTTTTAATTCGTAGGGCAAAGGACCAGTCTGTGTGCATTGAGTAGCTAATGGCTCCTTAGTAAGCACCCTCAAAAGCAGGAGAGGGACTGGGCAGTGGGCGAGTCCATCTGAAACAGAGCTCCAACTGAAACTCTTTCACTTCAGGGGGAAGTTTGCACCAAGGGAGTCTCCCACCTGTTTGAACATTACTTCCCACAGCCTTTCACAGGAAAAGTGATCTTCCTGCTTGAGAAAGTCCTCTACAAATCCTTAGTCTTGGCCCAAATACCACCTTCCCTGGCCAACCTCCCAATTCACCCCCATAACTCATACCTCCACCCAGTCTCACCATAACTCATATCTCCGCCCAGCACCAATATTCTTTGGCCTTGAATGATTTTGTCTATATACTTGCTACTGTCCCTGGAGGACAGAGATGTACTTGTGCTTTTTAGGTCAGTCCACAGCCCTCACCCCCAAAGCCCAGCAAGTAGCAGGCACTGGCTTGGTCAGTGAAATTTGGAGCTGCTGACACTTGACCCCAGACAGTGCCCCAGGTGGAAAGGTGGCTGCTGTAGAGGTCACCAATAACCTATTAATCTCCTCTTCCCTGGTTAAAGCCATGAAATGAAACACCTTTGTTCATTTGTTTGCCGGTTTCCTTTTCTGCCCCAAATCCAGTTCTTGATAACTTAGACATACTTCTTCAGAGCTACCTTTAGAGATGCAGAACTAGAGGAGAGAGGAAAAGATTAATTTGAACTGAGGAGGGCATAAGAGAGACAGATGCAAGAGAAGTTAACCCCTGCAAAGCTGCCACCTTTTCTCTCGCTGGAAAGTGACCAACCCACCTGACCACACCGTGCCAGGTCTGGGGGGTTGTTTCCCCAGGTGCACAGGGCCAATCTAGGGAAGATTCTGGGGTTCAACTCAAAAGGTAGGGTGCCTTTCCTCCAGTTTCCTGTTCCCAAGTGCCAGATGGACTCTGCGAATTCTTAGAGTTCAGATCTGTTTCCCAGAGGTCCTGGGGATCTCGAAGCCTCATAGTGGAGTTCCAGTAGTGCCCCTGGTACACGCTTCAGTCACCACTGTGTGCCGACCCTACTCTGGAATCATCAAACTCGAGTGGCTGGAGACTTTTAACAAAAGTTTGTAATCAAGGCCGCTGGGTGTCTGGGGATGCCAGAGATTCCAGCTGGACGCTCCACCGTCTCCACATCCCCTCGGCTCAGATCCACAAGTCACTGCGCTGCCACCCCAGCACTGAGTGCGTAAAATGCTTGCAGAAGACAAGTGAGGCCTTGAAGCAGTTTGGGAACATCCCTGTGATGTGCAATCAGCTGGCCGTTTCTGAGAACTCTGATTCTGCGATGGGGTTATTACTCCCTCCTTTCCCCAAATGCAACTAAATTCAGGCTAGTGGCATAGGGGAAAGGGACAGCAGAGCCAGTGAGTAGCCTTAGTTGGAGGCTTGCCTTTTTTTCTAGACCACTGTCTGGAATGACAAGTTGCTGCCCCATAAGTAAAACAAGGAGTCTGGACCAATGATTTTTAAAAAGCCTTCCAGCTCTTACTTTCCAAGCGTGTATAGCTGACTTGTTTTCCCAATTCAGTCTGTTTGGCCTCCATCCTAGCGCCACAGCCTCTTAGCCTAGGCCAGAAGAGGGGCCCCAGAGAGTTTCATCTCTCTCCCGGGACAGATGCACACTCCCCCCGCCCCTCCCGACACACCCTCCAAACGCACTCAGAGCAGAGGCTGCAGTCCTCCTCTCTGCACGATCCAGTCACCTTGCTCAGGTTTCTGTAAGTTCCTTTTTTATTGGCTCAAAAATCTCATTCACCAGTTCCTAAATAATCTTATGTACAAAATATAGACTTTTCCTGCTATTAAGTCTCATTAATAAATACAACGTGTAAAACAGGGGAGGGGCCATATAATTTATCCTACCAAAATTTACCCCATGCCGCATCATACCATTTACAAACTGATTTTTTTTTATAAAGACACGGACTTTCCGGGTCGCAGGGATGGGGAGAGGTTTTCCCCAGTCGGGCTGGAACTTTCACCAGTTCACAGACAGATATTACGACCCTGGAGGGCAATGGCTCCTAAAAGTGCACGAGGAAAAGGCAAATGATCACCTTCGTGGATTAAGGCAGAGTGGAGCGGTCCAAAACCCAGGACTTGATAGGAACAAGAGGAGAAGTTCAGCGGCGTCTTCGGAGAAAAGAAGCTGGGCGAGCGGAGCGAACCCGGGGAGACCAGATATTGGATTAAATCACTCTGGGGGAGGAGTGATAATAGATAGCCGGTCAAGCCCGCAGACAGACTTGAATTCGGGGAGGGTGGCTGGAGACGGTGGGCGTCACCAACTGTTTAGTGCTATCATTCTGGTCTTTTTTTTTTTTTTTGCATGAGATTTGGGGGTCGCCGCGAAGGGGGCCTAAGACTCACGTGGCCTGCAATGCCCACTTGCGCGGGCGGCAGCAGGATTGCAATTGGCGCCACGCAGAGGACAGGGAATTGAACCCGGCCGTCTACCCCCAAGGGCACCTCGGCTTGCTAGAAGTCAGCAAACCAGAGCTGGAGGTGAGGGCCCCCGCTGCTGCCACCTCCCCCTCTCTCTCTTCCAACACCCACCACCCAGCGGCCGACAGGCCTCATCATAGAAAGTCTGAAAAAGCCAGGGCGCCGGGGCGCGGACAAGCAGGGGAGGCAGGCGCCTGCAGCCCGGGTCGCTCCTCCAGCGATGCAGCGGGGCTCAGGCTGCCTGCCTGAGAGACGGGCGAGTAGACGGAGCCCCAGTCTCCCCGGGAGCCGCCGTCCGGGCTGCCCAGCTCCTCGCAGGGCAGTGCGGGCGGCTCCAGCCCATAGAGGCTGTGATCCGCTATGCGCAGCGTCTGCGTCAGCGCCCAGATGTAGTTGTGGGCGAAGCGCAGCGTCTCGATCTTGGTGAGCTTCGCATCATCCGGGAAGGTGGGCAAGACGCCGCGCAGCGCGTCCAGTGCGGAGTTAAGGTTGTGCATCCGATTGCGCTCGCGGTCATTGGCTTTCTTCCGTCGGCTCCGTCGCTGCTTGCTCAGAGCCAACTCACTCTTAGGCCGGCTGCGGCCCCCACGCCGTGCCCTGAGCTTCCTGGCAGCCCCTCGGCAGCCACCCCCTTCCGCCTCGGCGCAGTCGCCCGGCACGCGAGTGGGGCTGGGCAGAGCGGACGCAACGCAGGTCACTTCCTCGTTCGATACGCCGGGAAAGGGCTGCTCCGTCTCGTGGGTTACTTGGACAGCTGGCGCACCCAAGGGGTGAGGTGCCATCCTGCGGCGAGATAAGAGGTACGAGTAAGCGTGGGTCGGTCACCCGGGCGCAGTTCCCCATCCCGGGGCTAGATGGGGGGAAAAATAAGAAAGAGCCACCCCAACTCCCCGCCAGAGGACCCCTTTCCCCTTCAGCACGCCGCTCTGCGACTTCCAGGTTTTACCTTGTTCTCGGGCGCAAAAGGAGGGAGAGAGGTGGGCAGCAGGGAGCAACCACGAACTGAGGTGGTCTTTGCGTCTCCAAGTTCAGCTGAGAAGCAGGCGCTGCCTCCCGGGAGTTTCCCCAACCCCAAAGAAGAGAAGCGCAAAAGGGGTCCGGGGCCTCTGTTGCTGTCTGCGCGCGGCCAGGCGGATTTCCTGCTCCGTATGTCGTGTGCCCAGTGGCACGCTTTATCTGCTCCGCGGGGGCCAGGAGCGTGCCTGCCCCGCTGCTGCCCGCGCTGCTGGCCAATCAGCGCCGGGACCATGGGGCTGCGCCACGCGAGCCCGCTCCTCCCCCGCGGAGCACAGCTGGATGCTGGACAAAGGGCCGAGGTCGGGAAAGAGGAGCGCCCACTCTGTTTGCTTTCTCCCAGCGGGCTCTGTCCCAGCAACTCTCGGTTTCTCAAAGAGCCTCGCCCAGTGAGAAGAGCCTTGTCTGGCTCGCGTCTGGCCGTCCCAGACCACTTTGCTAGTATTCTATCTTTCCTTGGCACATGTTCAGAGCCACTCTTGGTACTCCGAAGGAGGCTTTCGAAGCCTTTAGGGTAAGTCGATCTCCGAGAAATTTAGTCTCAGAGAGGGATGCAGCTTGCCCCAAATCACACGGCAAGGAATGGAACAAAGAGCCAGGTGTCCTGACTACCAACTTGGAAAAGCGCGCACGATTTCCCCCGATGCCACTCTGCTCTCCCGCACTATGGATAGGTTAGGAAACACACATAGGGTGATGTTTTACTGACCCTCTTCATTCTAGGGTGGGTGGGGGGAGAGGCAAATACAGATGTCTCTGACACGTAGAGACCTTCTTCTGGGGTTGAGGAACCCCGTTTCCCATTCCCTAAGATGACGCCCCACACTCGTCAGACGGAGGCACTTAGAACCTTTCCCCATCCCAAACCTAAGACCTTTCCATGGTGCCTCAGAGGCAGAGGGTGGCTGTGGTGGACCTCAGCGGACATTCTACAACTCCAGTTGTGGACAGGACCCTAGCGTTTGGGCCAGGTCCTGCGGGGCAAGAGCTCAGGTGAGAAAGGGTCAGGAGAGGGCCAGAAGTTCACAGAGAGCCCTTGTGTCTTTTAAACGCCTGTGGTGTGCTGGCTCTGTAGAAAAGCAGATCAAGTCTTTCTCCTCTCAGTCCTTCTGTCCAATCACAGGCGGGCAGGGGCTGCCAGCGCTACCTGGTCCAGCCTCCTGCCGCGGTTTTAGGCAGGGATCCAGCGATGAGCATAGAGCAGGGACTCTCCAAAGCCCCTATTAGCGCCATCTGGAAATCTTTCCAAAGTGAGTCTGAACACATCATCCCTCCCTCCTTCCTCCGCCCCTCCCTTTTGTCCCCGCCTCGGACACCCCGTGGTCTTCTGCTTCCGGTCACTCAGGGTGAGGGGTCGCGGCTTCCGCTCCTCTTTCTTGACCGCGAGGTGCCCGGGGGAGGAAGCTGAGGCTGGGAAGACTAGTTCCAGGTTTATTCTCTGCAGGCAGTGAAGGCTTTATTTTCTGGCAGGTCCAGATACCCTGAGCCTTCCGGAAGTTGATGGAGGGGAGCAGGACCGGGTTAGAAAACTTGAAGGGATGGGGTGAGGGGAGGAGGTAAGTTTGCGCATCTGCCCTAGTGACGGGCCTCTTGACACCGGCCCAGGCTGCTTGAAGAGCGAAATTACCTACAAGGCAGAGAGAGGGTAGATATGCTTGAGATCCAGGTATGAGGGCTCTAGGATTGCGTAGGAATAGGGCTGCTGACCCGATTGCAGCTGTTGCGCGGTTGCACAGGCTTCTTCCCTTGATGCCTGGGAACTGAAGCTAGGGATCCGGCGCAGAACCATCAAAGGGACCCCACCGAGACTCTTGGGTTAGACATTTTTCTGTTTCCCCTTGGATCAGGACTTGCTCCAAACTTTATATCTAGTTATAAGAATGAGAACCTGAGGCCCGTTTTACAGATGGAAAAATCAAGGCCCAGAAAGGAGAAGTGACTCGACCAAGGTCACACAGTAAGTTCTATCAGAGCCAGATAGAACCCAGGTCCTAAGGCTCCTAGTGCTAGATTTTCCTTTGCACTTGCTTCCTCTCTTTGATTAGAGGAAAATATTTTTTCAAGGCAAAACCGGACACCACAAAATGTAAAAATAGGAGAAGTACTGGTCTGTGAGAAATGACAGGGTCAGAGTAAAAAAGTAGTAGCCTTAACTCCCAGTGCCAAGGGGAGCCAGTGTCTCCTCGTTTTCTATCTCTTTACTTTGGTAAGAGTACCTCATACCCCAGCCTTGCTTGGTTTCTATCCTGTACATTAGGAACTGAGAGAGAAAACCCAAAACATGCTTCCCTAGCGCCCCAAGACCCAGCCCCGCTCTCTGGAAGGAGCCCTGGCTATAAGGGATCAAAGCACCTCTATGGGTCCCTGGAGGACTGAAGAGCAGCCCACAACCAAATCTCTCATCCCTCAGAGGCCCTCAGATGAAAAGCGGAGGCAGAACTCGCCTCGGCTCCAGGTTGCCTCAAGCGGCTAATGGGTACTAGATAGAACCACAGGGCAAGCTTCCTGAATCAGGGGAGATTCTGGGGTTTCTTGGGGACCTTCTTGACTGGGAGAGAATTCTGGGACCCGCTTATGACTCTTATCTAGCTTCCCCAGAACGCCTTCTGCTCAGGACTCTCCAAGGTTTTGTGGTCCGTCACCATTCCGGCTTTGCGCAAAGATCGCGAGCAGCGCGCAGCGACTAGGGGCAGCTGTTTTCTTGAGGCTCGCAAGAACTCTCCACAGTCCTTCTTCTGGCCAGAGGGGCGGGGCTGGAGTTCGAGGAGTCCTAGGGGATTAGAGACGGAGGAGCCATGTCTTCCCTCTCCACTGTAGGGGATGTACAGACGCCTCTCCAAAATTAATTCCTTTGCTTTTGGCAGCGGAAGCGCAGGCTGTGACAACTCAGTGCGCGCTGGCTGTATTTGTGAATCAGCTCTTCTAGCGGGGAGCGGAGCTTATTCCTGAAGTCCCCGGCCAGCCACCACCTCTAATGCTTCCAGGACCCCCGTGCCCCTCGACTCTCTGAGACCCAGGCTTGCCTGGAAGCTGAGGGGGCCCAGGAGAAAGGCGACATCCTGACGCCTGGAGACCGCGGGCAGATTGGAAAAGAACGAAGGCAGCGGTCCGCCTTTCCGCCTTCCCGTGGGCGGGGGGAATCTTAGCAGTGCCTGGGGGCTCTTTGAGAGAGGAGGAGGGAGTGGGGGGCGCATAGGAGGTTGAATAGCTAATGGCTTGCCGGAGGAGGGGGTGTCTTTCTCTCGCCTTCGCCTCGGCACTGAAAGAGGGGAAGACAAAAATCTGGCGAGCGAGCTACCCGGCCGAGACTGGCCACTTCAAACAGTCCTTCAAACAAAAGGAGACGACGAAAAGAAAGCCCCACCTGTCTCCAGTGTTTGCTAAAATAATAATAAATAGATTTCGTTTAATAAATAATTACAAGAGATTGTAAAGTGGAGTGCTTTGGAAAACATCTACCGCGGGAGTCCCGCAGCCAGCCATCACCTGCTCCCAAAGCGGGCAACTTTATTGTTAAGCCACCCCCCAACTAGTTCGCCTCTGATAAACTCTCCCTCCTTTTCACAATGACTGTTTACTCATAGTTAGCACAATATTACCTTTGCCGTGATAAACCCAGAGGGGGGAGACCTGGCCCCTGGCCCCTGGGCACACCTGTCCCAGAAGCTGACACATGGATTTGGCACCGATCGGGCCTCCCCCCGGGGGCCGTGTACATTGGCCCAATTGCCACCCATTTATAACAGGTTGGCTGCAAGGCCTATCTCGGTCCTATTTGTCTTCTTTTATTGAAAGCATATGGTCTCCAGGGGCTCACCAGCCCCATATTTCATCTGCCGGGAGCTGGGGCGCTTCCGTAGGCTGGTGCTGCTCAGCGCGCTGCTCCCCACCCAACGGCTGCTGCGCCAGCTGAGGAGATGGCGGAGGTGGGGTCGGGAGAGATAAGGCGAGCTCCTCATTTGCTTTGGGAAAGACGCCTTTCCCTCAGAGACTCCCCCTCCCAGGGCTCAGGGACCTCATGCGCTATTGAGTAGGTGGCTGGTTCTTTTCCTTGGGTAGGTGAGAGGGCACCATATGCCACCCCCCAGGGCGCACAAGGGAGCTCCGGCCCAGGGAGTCCTGGAACAAAGGGAGGAGAGGGTCCAGGACCTCAGGAGCACCCGAGGTCTTTATTTCCAGACCCCCTCCCTGCCCACGGCTGCCTCCCCCCCGGGCGTTCGAAGCTGGCGCACAGCGCCTGGAAACAAAGTGTCCACATTGTCCCTGTGGCCAACGGAGACAGTGAATGCGTGAAAAGGTGCATTGCGCATCAAGACACCTGTTGAAGCGGCGCCTCTTCTCAGCGTCTCTCTCTGTTCTGCCCTCGGTCAGGAGGGAGTGGGGAGTGGGAGGGGGGAGAGATACAGTGATTTGTAGCGACATATGTTGAGCAGATCGGTGTGTACTCTTCACAGGGAAACATGCACCCTCGCTCCCATACACACCCCGCGAGAAGGAGCAGCTGCTCTCCTCACCTTCTCCCGACATAATACCTGGGCCAGGCACTTTGGCGTCGCCTTTTGAGACTCCAGCTCTCCCCCACCCCTCTGCTTTCCGCTCCCACCCGCCGCCCCAATCTTGGCAGCTTTGCTGTAGGACTTTATTGTCAAATTTAACAGATGCACATTTGTTCCCAGCGCCTGGCCTCAAACACACACACACACACACACACACACACACACACACACACACACACACACACACACGCAGGCATCCACAGAAAATGCGA